GAACTTGGTACTTCAAAACTTGGTGAGTAAAAAGAACTTATGCGTTTTCTGGAGTATACTGCTCAGCTAAGGTTACCTTTCATTTTTTGTTTTTGTCCCTTGCAGATGCGGATGAGTGCAAAAGTAGTAATGGCGGATGTGATCATTACTGTCACAATTACATAGGCGGTCATTATTGCTCATGTAGAGCAGGCTACAGACTTCAACCGGATAAGAAGTCTTGTAATGGCAAGTATCTAACTTCTCCCATTATTCCTCGTTTCGTAGAAGTTTTGTCTGCGAAAGGGTTTAATATCTACTAATTGCTCAGGTGCTATTTAACTTAGGTTTAGCTAAGAAGCTTTTTAATCAAGAGAGCTATATATTCTTCTCCCAAGATTGAGTTTCCTATAATTTGGTTCAAATGTTATTGCCCGATTCACTGTTGTTGGTCATTTTATAAATGTGGACATTTTTCAGTTGTGTGCAATAACCAGCAATTTAAAGCGAGACGAGGTGAGATAGTTACTCCAGAATACCCTAAGAACTACCCCAAAAACTCCAGATGTGACTGGACCATTGAGGTGGAAAAAGGATACCAGATAACTTTAAGTTTTATTCAGGTAAGTTTTGTTCTTAATTTCAACTTTTTCGTGTTTTGAAATAAACTGGCGAATCCTCAGTCCACGGACATGCTAAAGCATTTTTATCAAGGGGAGGATTATTTTAAATTTCTACCAGAATTCTGTTGGAATTGTGCTCCTCGATGTCATGTTACCGCTACGTTATGCTTATGCTATCTTTTTTATGGCTCAATTTGTTACATTCTAATCTTAAGCAATATAGTGAAATCAACATTTTTAATAATGCAAATGGTTTTGCGATAACACTGTTCTTGGACACTGATGATAAAGTAGGGTTGTTTGGAACAACTTTTACGGAACGTTCTGTCTTGGGTCCCATGATAATTTTGGCACAAGATAATGATTACTGCTTTTCATTTAACTTTTGATTTATCCCTGATTTTTTAAACCTGTCATTTAATGTTCTTGTCTATTTCCTCTGTGCCGATGTTGCTTTTCGCACTTTGTGCAAAAATACGATTCGCACTTTGCACAAATATATTCCCGGGTTGGTTGTCGCGGTAACTTACGGTGGAATATCACTAGTTTCCTCAATTCCACCCTGAATATCATGCTTCAATAAAAAATCACAGTGCCGGATGTTATTCTCCCAGCCATGCCTACTAAGACATGATATTCATTTTTGCCTTCATTAGATAATAACACTGTTAATTTGTTTTTAATTGTGAGCGTAGTTTGAAGTGGAGGATCATCCAGACGTGATTTGTCCTTACGACTACATGAGAGTGTCAGCAGGCATCAATAGGAAGTATGGTCCTTTCTGCGGAAAATCTCTTCCTAAGAACTTTACTTCATCTGATAACTACATGTACCTGGAGTTTGTGTCTGACGGTACTGAAAACTACAAAGGATTCAAAGCGATTTATGACACACACGGTAACATTTTATCAAACGATTGTGTATTCCTTGCAACCCCTAAATGAAGTGTTCTAACCTAACTTATGAGGTTTAATGGTTGTCTCGTTGTCTACTTATTTGTCTGATCCGTTGTTTTATCATTGCTAGCCAAGCCTTCCAGGTTATAGTAGCTAATTAATTATTTGTGAGGTACAATACTTGTATTATTTATTTTATTAATCAGCATTGTGCTTTTACAGGGTTAAAGTGCCCACCCTTACGTGCTCCACAGCATGGAAACATGACAGGGGATAGTTTTACGTTTAAGGACGTCGTACAGTTTGGCTGCGATGAAGGTTATCTTCTAACAGGCTCTGCTGTCAGGGAATGTCTCAGCAGCGGGACCTGGGACGGAGTTGTCCCTGAATGCAAACGTGAGTATAGTCTCTACTGGTAGGAGGTTATTCCTTAGGTGAATGCTCTCTTATGTGAGAAGGGATTCTCAAGGCCGCTTTGAACTCCGAGAGCTACAAAATGAAAGTAGAAACAGGATACTTAACAGTTATGGTGCTTGGACAAGAGTCGAGCCCAAGTCATACGATACACGGCATAAGCTGCTTTTTAATCACTTCGTTGAAAGGAAATCCGTTTGGACAAAAAATCTATTGGGCGTACAGGCACATTTGATCGTGGGTGACAAGGCAACTTAGCTTTATGGAATCTCTATCGACAGAATGTGAATTGAATGACGAGTCAACTATATCAGTAATATTCATTGCCGTAATGTTTTACTTATTTTAATTGTATTTGTTTATTTATTTCTCTAACTGTACAAGCGGTAAACTGTGGTAATCCAGGAATCCCACGTCATGGTAAAATGGAACAGACTGGATTCACTTACAGAAAAACTGTGACATTTTCTTGTGACAAGTATTTTGAGCTTCGTGGTCAGAACACTAGACAGTGCCAAGCAGATGGGACCTGGTCTGGCGAACAACCCAAGTGTGTTGCAGGTACGCTAGCCTTGCTTGAACGTGAATTCTTAATAACGCTTTTCTTTTATATTTTACTGAGGTCCCAAGCCTTCTCTTCTCCTCTGGCAATTGAAGAGACCACTATCATAGTGAAACCTGGAGGGCTGTTCGGGAAGCATTTTTGTGAAAATTAAAACAAAATGAATGGGATGTTTTTTAGGAGAACACACCGAGATGAACAAAAAGTGATTTATCGCCATTTTCGATAATTGTTACAATGAATGGCAATTCTACGACAGTAAGTCAGGCCACAAGTTTAGTTTACTTCTGGGGCAAACTATGTAATCTTATCTAGATGTGAGTTACAAAAGTTAACTTTAGCGCTCTAAGTCGAGACAAAATTCGTCCTTCTAAATTATAATCGTACGACCTAAATAAAAAGAAGAGAAAAGTCATAAGAAACAAGTCAAAGGTAAAAAAAACCTTTTTTTTTGTTTCCTTCTGAAAACGTAGACCTTATATATTCGATCTACCATAAACGAGTTTCCTTTTCTCTCTAATTATATCGAAAGTTTGAGGGAGTGACCTATTGCAATGAACATCGAAGTGTATCTCGCACCAATTGTGGCATTTGACGAGATCGGCTCAGAAAACTGGCCCATTATTGCCACCATTACTCAAAGTTGATCTGCGCGTCGTTCATTTTCTTGTTATGTAGTGATCACCATGATGCATTGGTATTTATTCACAATTCTTTCTCTACCGTTATCAATCCAGGTTGTGGAGAAATAGAAAACTTTAATTTCAGTCGTGATGTTTGTAGAAAGAGGATTGTTGGTGGCCAGGACTCTTCCAAGGGCGCCTACCCGTGGCACGTATTACTGATGAAGGATGGTCGGTTGGCCTGTGGTGGAAGTCTTTTGAACGAACGTTGGGTTTTAACTGGTAGGCTAATTATCCCAGGCCCTTTTCGGGCGCTTTGCTATAAAGCCGAGGGGTTAGAATGGTAAAAAATTTTGGAAACACTAGTTTCTCTGATAAAAGAACAAATTATCTTGACTGGGGCTTAGTTATCAGCCAGTTTTTTTAATTTTTACTTGTTGTCCTACACTGTCGGTATCATGCCCTGACATCATCAGGATATTTTAATCATGATCCGTCAAGAAAAAATTTTTTTGCACGCGATTGTTGTAAACCCACCTCTTGACCAAATATTCTCCAGCTAAAACGGGGGGATATCCGAGGATATCACCCAAGTGATATTCCTCAATTTTCAAACCTTACGTCCGCTACGATAAGTTTTAGTTTAAAATTTAATTCAAGATGAGAGAGCATTTTATAGTTGTTACAGAATAAGGAAAATATCATTGTTTGATCTTAAAGTCGTACTAGAAAACACTAGAAAGAAAACATCCCACGCGGCAAGCAGTAAGCTGTTCCTGATCATTTTTTCACGCGTGTTACAAAATTTTTAACACAATAGCCTCTATTTTGCGGGAAATTATGCTCGTGTAGTTGTTCTCGGACATTATCTGTTCCTCGAAGCTGAGTTTTCCTCGACCTTCGCTCCCGGAAAACTGTTCGCATCTTGGAACAGATAATGTCAGAGGACAAATGTCCTCTCCCTATAGCTTTGTCACGGGAACAATCTTTGTGTGTACAGAGTTTGCATGTTTCTAGGGGGGTGTCACGTAAAATAGTATTTTTCGTGGAGTTTTTTTTGCAAGGAAGTGAGAAAAGTGACATACTCGGTAAAAGGTAAAGAGTTGAGAGGAGCAGCCTGACGCAACCTCTTCAAGATTATTCAAGATATGGATAATTAAAGAATTCAATAGATCAGTGAGTTACTGATTTTATTTTTATTCGTCCTTTTTACCCTCAGCTGCTCATTGCGTGACGAGCAAACAATCAGACATCATCCCCCTTTCAAAACTAGACATTTTTGCTGGTCTACTCGATATCCGCAAAATGAACGACAGCCACATTCAGAGGAGAAGAGTCATAAAGATCATTAATCATCGGGACTTTAATTTCACGCTGTTTGAGTCTGACTTGGCGCTTTTGAAACTGGATCGTGAAGTCAAAATATCAGATTACGTCAGACCCGTCTGTCTGCCAGAAAAACCTGCGTAAGTCAAACATTTATTTACTACGTCCAATTCTTTATATTTGATGAGTAACAATGTTTCCTGGACCACTGTAAAAGACAAACGTATTTGTGGGAGAGAGGAACTATGCAAAAACACGTTCCTAACATTTAATAGTGCCGTTTGCCTGATGGGAAATAACTAATTTTTTATTGTAATTCATAAGTTGATTGAGGTGTGTGGACCCTCATTTTCTTGCTTTTTTATAAGTTTCGAACGATAACGACAAAAGTTTCAACAATCCTCTCCCTACAAAGCAATGATTCCTTCCGTTTTGATTTTCTGCTGCCATGTAGGGGCCACCATACCATGTGAGTAACTTGTTTGGTTTTCTCGATTTCCAGACATAAGAGTTTGTTTATGCCTCGAAAATTCGGCCGAGTGGTAGGCTGGGGTTATAGAGTGAGCCAGGACTCCGTTGGGCAGTTTGCAAACGTCCTCAAAGAGATCTGTATTCCCACCATCGGCAACGATAGATGCAAAGCCGCCTTCCAGGATGAAGGGTACATTGTGACTCGAAAAATGCTATGCGCTGGTCAGGTTCAAGGTGGAAAAGATTCCTGTCATGGAGACTCTGGAGGTGGATTTGTCTCCATGGACCCACTGAGCGGGAAGTGGGTACTGGGCGGGGTGGTGAGCTGGGGCAGCAGCCTGGGATGCGGATTACGAAATAAGTATGGGGTGTATGTGCGCGTCACAGAGTTTATCCCTTGGATCAATCGTTATATGTCCTGAGACTCCCTTCACTTGATCAAGATGTAACCAACTTATTTGGATAATTTAATTAATGCATAAGCAAAATTTTCTTTTTATCAGTTTCAGTTGATGTAATTGAATCTGTTCTTTCTTACTTGAAACAAAAAAATACATGAATTGATAGACGTTTGCCTGTGAGCGTGGAAAGTAAACTGCTCACTGAGGTTTACCGTTAGTTTGTTTTTTCAGTATCTAGTTTGCTATTTTATGTTGTGTAATCTTACGGCAGCAGTTTTTGTCTTCCTGCTGACTTCGTGTTTATACAGTGATAGAGTTAAATATAAAATGCACAACTGAGATGCATGGCTTGCGTGATCAACTACATTTTTAATCTTTCAGGACTCTTTATCCTGTATTTAGATGTAGAAATCATTTTATGTAGTCTTCGTATTTAAAAAAATATATTTCTCTTAGTCTATTGGATTTAAATGTCTGTTTAAATATTGATTTATGAGAGAATTCCAGTTTGTCACGCCTTCGGAAGCCTGGTTTCGTTTCCAAAATGACTTCAGTCAGACAAGTCGTACTCTTTCTTTACTTTTTAAAGAATTTCATTTTTGTTGTGTGAATCCTAACAGCTAAGACAGATTACGCTATGAGTAAATTGCACTTGAAGCCGAAAAAGAAGCCTTTCGTAGCTGGGGTATAAGAATGAAGACTTATCAGTATGAGTCAAATTACGAGTAACAACTTTCTTCAGAGTGTATTGGGTAATAATGATTTGTATCTTTCTGAGAAAGACTTAGTAGCTTTTTAAAGCACATGCTAACGTAAATTTGTTGCTGTTGTCATATATTTTAAAAACCTTTTTTTATTGTTACAAATGTATATTTTGTTGTTGTTATCATTGTGTCGTGAACTCTATAGCAATGTCGTCCTCTATTCTCTTTTAAGAAAGGGTGGTGGGGGGGTCTCTCGCAAGAAGCCGATTGTTTCTCTATTCGAGTCGTAAATGCATGGATTTAAAATATCATAGAGATCTTGAAAGTTGTCTAGACTACATTTGAGAGTTATACGGTTAACATCACATGTAAGATCCCTGTTGCTCAGTTACTACGGCACTGGAACTCAAGTTTGGAGTTAGATTCTCCGTGTGAACTTAAATCTTTTCTTCGTACCACACTTGAATAAAACTTTGTCAAAACTGATTGACGCAAAGAAGAAAAGCCTTGTAACCGAAGAAAACAAGTAATTTAAACAAAATCTAATAGTTTGAAGAACCTTTTCCTTTATTTGTGCAGCCATTTATTCTTCCTTCGCGAAATCTAACTGTCAGGACCTATCTACTGGAGGGGTTTGTCACGCATTTAGCTTAACACGATTCGTCAGTCGGTGATAATATCCTAACAGTTGAACGCGCTTTGCAGGTGGCTGTTTCCGCGTCGTGGAAGGAGCGGGGGAAGGGAGGAGAGGTAGCAGTTGTAGAGATGTTGAACGAGTGTGAATATATTGATCTTCCGCTGAAAACAAAAAAAAGGGAAGGTTGATCGTTAAGGCTCATAGCGATTGTAGTGAGCTGAATTGTAGTGGAGGCTCGACTTTTTTCACACTAAAATTATCACTTGGAAAATTAATTGATGGGAGAGTTCTTCGTATAAAAAGTGACAATCTTTAATGTGAGATCGAGTTTTGGTCGAGAAGTGACATGAAATGTTTTTATTGTTAAAAATCAAAGCTCATGCCGTTGACCGTGCTATTTTTCTGTTAGCCTCACGTGGCTGCAAGATGTCGTAGCTACACGAGAAGGATTCTCATAGAGAGAGTTAAATAAACGGAAATCAAGCTGCAGCTGACGTTTCTAAAATATTTACAATTTTATTTGCTTGTAGTTTTGAGTTACTGTTTTGCAAACATAGCCGCTTTTCAATGGTTTATGCTTCCTGTACACGCAGGAGGAACATCTAGAATTGCGGCGTAGGTTGTTGGAAATATTTTTCATATAACTTAAGATATAACGTTGTCACACACCACAACAGAGGCTACCGACACTGGTTCTACGTCACTACTGTCGTTTACACTATTATAAGACTACATGTAAACCAGAGATTGCAAGGTGTACACCTTATATGCAGTTACCAGTGGACTACATCAATCTATTATTTTATTGCTCGAATAAATATGAAAATGTTTCTGTGCTTTTAAACGTCTTGATTTGCTTGGTATTTGATAATTTTTAACATTTCAATTAAAGAACCACTCTCACGTAACACGCAAAATCATGAAATTCTTTCTTGTTTTCTTTAAAAATTGTTTCAGTCGGCCATCCCCATTTTTCATTACTAACTCTTATTCCTATGGTCACTTAAACTGTGTTTACTCTTCACTTTATTTTCCTTAAATTGTCGTCAGTGATACCATGATCGCATGAGCCGGCCTTCCTTCCTCACCTACTATCAATCACTCCATACCTCTACGAGAGCTAGACTTTGAGAAGAGTTCAGATTAGTGGCCCCTTGTTCTACAGACATTCAGCTACAGACATTCTATCTACAGACATTCTACAGACATTCTACAGAATCTACAGACACTCAGCTTCTCACATAAGAATCTGACTCAAATGACGAGTGCAAACACTTAAATGATATGAAGCTCCAGTTTGGATTCACTTAAAATATGCCGGTGTCATCTTTGATGTTTCCCTGAGAATGTCACGTGATTATTTTCAGGACCCTAATGATTATACCGTGATTTGTAATAATTTTAGTCTACACTTATATTTGCGCTGAACCTGTTTCTTAAACTAACTAATGATAACCTGCACTGGTGTGACGAAAAGTGTAGTGCTCTAAACCTTGCTTAAAGGTGAATGATCTTCTCATTCACTTCAGTATATAACACCGGTTCCCTTCCGAAAACATTAGGAGTCTGAGCAGAGACGTTCTTGAAATGCGGACGGCTGTCAGAGAAAAAAGTTAATAGCCAATTAAGAGAGCATCAATTGAATCGACTTGATGCTCTATAGTCAGAACTAACCACTTGAAAAGATCTTGCTTTACAAATTTGTCGCAAACGAAAGAATAGAAACTCTCCACCACTGGCTTCCGTCCGCGTCTCAAAAACGTTTGTGCCATATGAAAGCTCACAATTGTCGAGAGACTGAACCGGCCTAGCTTACTTGCAGATGCTAACCTCGACTCGCCTCTGACATTCGCGACACTTGACATAACAGCACCAATAGAACTTGCATTCACAGCGCTCCACCCTGGCCTCCTGGTGTGTGGTGTAACCCCGACCGCAGCACATCAACTCACATCCATCTATAGCTTGAGATGTGCGGTTACACATCCTTCCTTGGGTTCCAAGGGAGCCAGTGCTAAGGTTTGGCGTGCAGAAATCAGGTGAACGATCGATGTAAACAAGGTCGACCGCAGTGTGTGGTTTAAAATTTGGATTTCTTGGAAGAAGAACTCTCCTTGATCCAATCTGCTTTAGTTCTACTTCCGTGGCTCCGTCGAATTTTTCTTTGATATGATCTCCAACCAGTCTAAAATTGGGAAGGGTTCGCCAGCAGGTTTTCACCTTGCATGACCCTGACACACCGTGGCATTTACACTGAATTTTCATGTACTTTAGGATGGCCTGTTGATAGAAGTGTAAATTAACTAATCGTCGGCGGGACATACTACTTTTACTTGATCAAAATACCAAAAGTGCATTCACTCGGTCTGCTTTCTCTTACTCCATGTAAACTCCTTTTCGAAGCGCCGATGACAGAGAATATGCTTAAGAAAACTCGACCCTTTCGAGTTTTGGACCTTTCATGAGTAAACACGGAAGCGCCGGTCGCCTAATTTTGTTGTTGAAAATACTTTAATTTGCACAAAATGAACCAATAGGGTGAAAATGATAGTTTGGTTTTCTTCCTGTTTTCGTCAAAGGATCCTCACAGCTCGAGTTTACTTTGAAAGTCGAAGAACAAGAAGAAGACGCTGGGGAGGATTATGCAGATGTTACTGTAACGCTAGCTATCAGCTTAGGAGGCTATAGTTGGTTAAAAGATTGTTTAGTGTAGATTTCATGTTTTTTCGCATTTTATCGTCTTATTTCATTTAACATACAAGGGAAAGACAAAGATATAGTAGCGGTATTCTGAAAAACACTTAAGAACGCTGCAAGAGTATTTTCTGTCTATTTTTCAGGTCTGGACTAAACTTGGTTGTAGCACATGAGTTTGCCAATTGTTTTTCCTTTACTGATACTAATTATCGATATAAATCTTTAGCTTTCAATTGGGTCTTTCAATAAGATGCGAACTAAGAGGACCAGGACCAATTTTGCAATCTCGTCTCATGCTGCCGTCATCTTGACGAACTTTCCAGAGCAGAAGCAAACAAAATGGATCGAAATCCGCAAATTGAAACCACGACATGACCTCATGAACACCCCTATGATTTTGAATGATCTTGCCTGAAGCTGAAATGCATAGTAACTCACCATTCTCCCTGCGTTGTTATTGTGCAAGTTCATGGAAATACGAGAAGGATCCTCTCCCTTACGACCACGTTCTCTTGCGTCCACAAAAGTTCTGGAAAACTCAATTCCAAAGTCGATGTCATCACTACATCCTGCCCATTTCCAACCCTCTTTCGACATTTTTCCATTGTTCTTCTGGTCACAGCCACACCTTCGTCCAAGTTTTCCCGCACTGCAGGAATGCGTCACAGCATAAGCTACCCCAGCTGACGAAATGGAATGAACAAAAGCAGCTTCCCTAGTTCCTACACAGAATAAGCGGGAATAAAGCTCATTAAAAATTATTTTCACTTGTCTACCGTTAATTACATGCTGCGTAATATTACAGGCACTGTCATTAAGAGGAAATTAAACATTAGACGGTCCAATTTCTTACTAGACTTCAAGAGTGAGGGTTTCTTGATGGAGGCTTTTACAGGAGTTCGACAAGTGACGCTTGGGTATGCAATCAAAGTGTGACGAAAAGTTGCCTACCTCCGTTTACAGAATTTCCGAAGACAGGAGATTTTTCAAATTGCAAAGTGGTACAGTTCCATCTTCGGTAGCGAAACTGGTGTTGACATTCCTGAACGGCAATTGTGGCACCAAATTTAACACTGTTCATGACGTCAACATTCCTCTTGCAGACTTGAACTTGTCTGTTGTTAAAGTGGGTACCGGCTTCGTCACAGCTTCGTCTCGTGTTAAACTTCGCAACAGAGCTGCTTAGCGCCAGCGATCTATAAATGTTAACAGATTAGGTGTTATCATTTATGAATACTATCTAATCTACGATTGGAATCAGATACTTTGAAAAACAAATTTTACGTGTATGCCACTGATTCAATTTTGAAAGTTACAATTTACAATCTTCTTTTTAACTCTAGCAGCTCTAGGGCAAAAATTCAAAATTAGGTTAATGAATAAAACGGAAATTGAGTGTCACTGATTGTACTTTTGGCCCAAAGAGAATAATCTATATGTTTTTATGAGAAAATATTGAAAGGCCGCAGCCAGGATGAAACATAGTTGAAAATTAAAAACGATCTCTGGTAAAAGTGATTAAAAACAAAGAACTGAATGATAAGCAAGCGATTTTACCCGTCGAAGACTGCAGTTCGGGAAGTCGAAAGCTCGTAGTTTTTAATCATTTTTGCCATAGATCGTTTTTAAATTTCAACTATATGTTTTTAAATTGCCTCTAATTTTTTCTTTTCATCAATTTAATGAAGCGATTGATTTGTCCATCTTTGGTGCTATTTACAAGTTCTCGATTTATCAAGTAAGTGCGCCTGTTGTAAAATGGGGTTGACAGGCCTACACGACTCCCCAGCGCGTGTTTAGAATAGCCTATCATGAAAGTTTGGCCCAAACGAGTATGTCTTTGAGCGACCGCCCTCTTTTGTAAGATACGAGCGGCGGATTTTTTTTTTAGTTCGCTCAGTACTGGGTATTTCTATTAAATGCCAGTTTCTCATGAGAATTTGCTTTAGGTTTGGCACTGATGGTTGGTATTGTGTAACAAAAGGCAAGATTCGTTGGTTCGTCTTCTGTTTCTGTTGAAGAGCTAATTTCCTGCTTTTGAAATTCACCTCTGAGAGGGTTGTGTTAATGAGGTCCTCTGGGTAGCCTCTCTTTAGCAAATGCGCTTTGAAATTTGCAATTTACTCCTCGAATATTGTTTGAGAGGGGTCTGTTCTGAGAAGTCTAAGGGCCTCCCCTTTTATGAAGCCTTTTTTAACTCCTTATGGGTGACAGGAACTATAGTGTGTATACTGAAATGTCTCAGTTTGTTTAAAATGAGTACGCACATCGAGAATTGCGTCTTTTTCGAATCGTTCGCCTTTGTAGATGTAGGTGTCCAGGAATATTGTTTCCTTATCGGAAATTTCAGCCGTAAATTTTATTGTTGGATGATGGTTGTTTGCTTTTACGTTCTGGAAGCACATGATCGCCTTTATTGTTTCTTGCTCCGCGTTGTTACGGATTTGCTTTATCTCTTTTTTGAAATCCTCGTCCGCTCCTATTTTGGCCCTCGCCCTATATTGTAGAGATTCTGGGCAGGTTCCTTTTTCTTTGTGCCTTTGTAAAGCCCTGATTGCGTTTACGGCCTTTTCATTCCTTTTTCAGCTTTTATAATCGTAACGGTGGCCAATTTACCATTTCAACTTTGTCGATATATTGAAATTATTTCGTTACCCCCACCGACGCAGCCCCAAACAGTTTCTTTTGAAACTATCAGCCTTTATCCATTCGTGATTAAAGTTTGTCTATTTTAATTCAGTTACCACGATGCCTGGCCGGGAATGACTTTTTGTTGTTGTACCTCTCAATTTTTAAAGAAAGAGACCAGTTGAATCATAAACCCACTTTACTGTCATCAAGAGCTGTGAGCACAATTTTTTTCTTGAGCTGCGATGTCATAGTGTTTAGATGCTGATAGATTTAGATGGTATAAAGTAATACTTTGAACTTAACGACGGCGGAGACCAGACAGTGCGAAAAAATATGCACCGTCTTCAATCAATAAAATCCCCTTCGTTCTCGAAGAGGATTTTATTAAGGTACCGAGATTTCTTGGTTTGATACTTACAGCCACTGACTTGATGTGACAGGAGAGAAGAATGAAAATTCCACTGCCACCAAAAGCTGGAAAAGTGTTAGTATCTTGAATAGTACCATGTTAGCTGCAGTTAGAGCGGTGTCTTTATCTGGCAAGATAAAAGAATAAAGGTTTATCATAAGAATTTGGAACAAAAGAGAAATCTGGCCTCCTAATGAAATTCCGCTGCGCGGGTCTCGTTCAAAGTGGTTACCGCAGCTACACTTGATAAAGAAGACAAAGTCAGCTACTGACGGCACTTTATTCTATGAATGTTATGTAATGGGAGAAAAAAAACTTAATTAAAACAAGCTATTAGACCGATAAGCTATTAGACCGATCTTTCATGACCGAAAGAGATCTTTATAACCCATGAAGGTAGTATTTAAAGTTTATAGGCAAAATCGTAGCAAGTTTTCAAAAGAGCTTCAAAATTTAGCAAACGCGTTCACATTCTGCGAGGCTAGTAGTTAATTAAGAGATTGTCACTACACGGTCGTATCATTTTAACAACCATTGTTTTTGTCTTTTAGCACAATAAAAGTTGTTAAGTCATGACAATTATATATGATAATTATCCCGTGGTGCAACGAGAACTCTTTGCCTTGTTTGACTGAATGTAACAGTGAAAACTTAAAAAGGGAGTGTCAAGACCTTCTCCGTGTGTGCTGTAGGTTCTAAATCGTATTTGCTCTATTTATCAGTTTTATTTACTCGTGCAGAAAAGTTATTGATCTAAATGTTTTATGACTGAAGTGGCCAGACTTCTTTCAATAGAGATTAAGCCGATAATAACTGATTGCGCACTTTGTCGGCTTATCTTGCGCGTTTTACATCACGACCAGCCAAATTTTCTCCCAAGTAAAAAGTTTCTAGCTGCCTCCTTTCATAATTGCTCATGACGAAATAACAGGTGCATATCAACTACGACTGCCTACAGGATTAACTAAGATGTTTTTCAAAACTCGTCTTTATACTCTCTTGGTTCTTTCAAACATTTTAAGTAAGTACTCACGTAAGAATCTATCGTGGACTTTCAACTCTTAGACATTTCTTTTGCCAGTTTGTTCTGCCCGATTTTCTGAAGAGGATTTTACTGGCCGGACAACTTAGAAAAAACGTTTTCACTCGTGGTTGTGGTGCTTGGGTTTACTAGACTGACAGCTGAGAAACGAGCCAAGTAATCTTCAAATCCTCTTTTAATAAGGCAATTTCGGTCCAACTTTGGACCTATTACGTTTCTTTTTCCGTTGTATTTCGACATTATGAAACTAAAAGAGCGTCAGACGTATCTAAGGCGGGCTCTGTCGATTAACCATAAAGCAATGCTCACCTACCTTATCCCAAAAATTCTCAACCTCTTTACTTTACTGCTGGTTGTAACTTTGCTCACCCCTTCTCTACTTTGTTTTAATGCTTTGACTCACAAGGATTTTTATTGACCTGTTTTCGGCTCAATTTCAGGACTATAATACACCAGTTTATAATAAGACCTTAACGTCCCATGGGACCTCACACCCAGACAAACCAATTGATACAAATCATCTTTATAATAAGCGGTGATGAGAACCTCGATCACTTTTTAACTTTAAACAATAAGGAAAATAGCAGCACGAGAAATCAACAGTGTGCCTTCGATCGCTCTTTGACTTGCTCTGAGACTCTTTGCTTCTCGTCTATTGTCCAGCAGTAAATTATGTCATGGAATGTTCGTGTTGGTAAACAACGAGCCTCCTTATTAAGTGTCATAATTAATATGAACTCACCGAGGGTATTATGTAAATAAACAATTAAAAGTCACCGGAAAAGCTGAGAAAGCTGAGAACAGTTCAAGGTGTTTAGCGGTATTTTAAAACTTCCTTATTTTCTGCTAGCTTGTTTTAATAAGCGTTTTAATTTTGGTAAATCCGCTGTGTCATATAATTTTCTTTAGAACTTAAGTCTTGTGGTTAATTTTGTTTTGACTCCATAGCACTCCTTTTTTTTTTCAATATAACAGAAAATATGTTAAACATCTTGCGGAATGATTTTCAAAAAATTAAACTATGTCAAACATTTTGGTTAAGCCTTCCTAGAAAAGTTTCTTAATTAAAAAGCTATTCGAATAAACGCGAACAATGGATATCTGTTTTTTATTACATATTAACCCGCCAACAAAAACAACGAAACAGCGTTATTGAACACCGAGATATATAATTTTTTGTCAAGCTGATCAAAGGATGAAAAGATCTCAAAGTTTGTCGATCACATATGTTGTTTGTATCGGGAAATGACAAAACTGAACTATTGTGGGCTTTAAAACAAATGGCGCTATCTTCTAACGCCAACTTGGAAACACGACAAACAAATTCGCTGTTCTCTCAACTGACAGAAAGGGCGCGAATGTCATACTTAGCGTGACGGCTGCGCAGGTCAACACACAGTAATCTGATTCAGTCGGCATTCCCTTGGTGCTTTGCCATCGTAATCGTCTGCAGATCAAGATGGCGAAGGAGAGGTCAAAATCGCTGATTTGGTCGGCCTTTTTGCAATGTAAGGCTTCTTTGTTCGTGTAAGCTCATAGCAATGTGATATAACCAACAGTTTCGTAGCGGGATTACACTAGTTTGGCATTTACAGTGAGACTGAGGAACAACAAATGAATTCGGGTGTAATCTTGAAATGAGAAAATTGAATACTCGATTGCGGTTAAGTCCCTGGGTAAAATTGTAGAATAGTACAAAATCTTACCTGTAGTCACGATCATTTTATCGCTCACCTTAAAAGCTCTGAAAATTGTAAAAAACATTTTTCCTCGAGCATTAGAATGTGTAAGAAGCAGGAAGTGACCCCATTCCGACGTCTAGCACTGATTAAAGATTAGGAATGATATACCTATACAATCCACGCGCGCTTGTTTAGTAAGGATAAACAACAAGTCGAGAGTTATCGGAAGGTTGTAAGTTATCAGGGCATCAAACAATTTTTCGTTCTTAAAGTCCTAGGAGTTTCTGAAATTTTCCATGAAATAGTAGGATTTTTCCTGTAATATGTACCTTCTTCGTGGCTAGACATGAACTAACATAATTGCTGTAGATATTAATGTTTTCATAGCTACACACAGCATCACAGAAAAGTGGACTAGCCAAGACCCGCATTTTTTTTCCTTTCATTACAATCACCGAGCCGGGGTGGATGACTTCGATTGAAATCCGTATAATTTGGTATCTCGCTGGCTCAGTTCAAGATGGCCAATTTTTCTCTTTCGTAGGAACAACAGCGTGCGAGTCAAAATTACTGCGTAACTAAAAGGATTGCGTATGACCTGGCGCGCGACCATGTAATATCCTGTACGTGCACACCCACTGAGCGGATGGGTGGATCAAAAATGCGCGGGCGCGCGCAGGAAAAATAGAAATTGCTGATAAATGACAAAATTAACACTCTTCTTTGGAAAAACACACACATAGGGAAAAAAAAATTAATAGTCTGTTATCGCCATTAGCCAAAACTCAATAATAGCTTCAGTTTTCAAATACAGAAACGTTGGCAGGAAATATCAAGTCGTGTAACAAAGAGCTTGACCCAGAATGTGTGAAATGTCGTTAGTTATCAACTGCTATATATGGTCCTCTTATTTTTGATAAGGATAAATGTGAAGTTTGATTTGTGTGAACTACGTAAATCCTATTGTAAATAGGAAATTAGCAAATTTTTTTGGAATAGTAAATAGGATTGACGTCTACTTCCTCGTTGAAAATTTTTAGGTTATTTCACGGTGCTATGGCAGACAGTGTCTTAGAGCTCGACACAAAATTACGTTATTTGTGGTTTGTAGTGGCGTCATTAATTGATTAGTTGCGTGCGATTTGCCGCAGGAGGTTTTCCTCTCGTAAAGGTGACTTTCCTCTTTGTTCAAAATTTGAACCATAACATCTGTTTTCCCTTTACCAATGTACGAATTCTTCAAAGTTGACTTTTTAACCCAAATTTACGACCCAAGTAACACAAAATAAGCCTGAGAAGACAATGATAGATAGAAAAGGTGGGGCGTAGTTAATCCTGGTCAGCGTACTATGCGTTCGCATGCCTCTAAAGGGCAGCCAAAGCTCCAATGATATCCTTTGTTAAAAAATTTATGATATAAAGTCAAAAGGAAAGTAGTTCGTTTCCTCTAAATGTACAGGGCCTGACAGAAGTTTTTATGGGATTTTTTTGTAGAGTTTTTTTTTTCACATATAACAAACCATTGCAAAGACATTATGACGAAAGGAAAGAGAAAATGGAGTTTATACTGTTTTTCAGCAACTTAAAGCGAATATTGAGCTCAAGGATAATTGAAGGTCTTGGAGAAAATGGATAAAGGTGGTTATCTCAGATCTATCCCACTACTTGGACGCAAATATAATTTCAATTCCATTCAGTCTCTGAGTTGACAGAAAGTGGCTTCTTCTTTTTAGCGAAGTCCTATGACATATCTTAGGTGATTTTGACGTGTCGTGTGCAATAAGAAAGCGCAGTTTAAGAGCCCACGAGTCTTTAAGATGCTTGTTCGTCGCGCACCCGGGATCGCGCATACCTAGTCAAACCGTCTTTTTGTTTTTTGCAACGGCAAACTGGATGGTCGACCGATACACTCCATAAGGGTAGGTTGTAATAAGGGGTTATGACTAAGAATTACTCAAATGCAGACAATTCTTCGCCAAACCTCAGACTATCTGCTGAAACCTATCAGAAGGTGAGACGGTGTCAAGGATTCTTTCTTAAAAAAAGAGTGTCAAAGGATCTTCCACTGACTTTGATGACATTTTATGATCAAGAGCTGATGTTTGTAATTACGAAACTTTGACCGTAAATTCTTTTGTGAGAAAATATTTCGAGAAGAACGATTTACAGTTTAGTCTTCTTTACAAAGAGAATTGTGAATTTCCTTAGCTGTTTTACCAAAGCTGAAGAGATTTCATATTTTCAAAATTTGTTTGTGTTTGAATTTTTTGCTTCTTTTATAACTAAGAAACAAGGGAGGCATACCTTAACTCGGGCAATGGAAAGGTTGCACGGAAAAGGATTTGGATTTTGTTAGTAACGCTTTTCAGGCAGCAAACGGCTTACCTTGATTAAGTACTGCGA